ATCTCTAAAACATGTCCGTGCCCATAAAATATGTCAGAACACGACTGTTTTAACATGATGACAGACACATCATCAAAGTGTGACCAACTACTGCATGAGTGACTAGATTTTGACAGCTTGTCTCGGATGTTGACTGAATGGGTGCGATCTTTTAAAAATATATTAGGCAGTAGAATAGCTGGATGTTACTGAAGGAAAGTCAGCAAGCGATACATATCTTTACAAATAGCTTAGCCCACCAAGCATCAAGGGTCCAAGCCAAAGGCAAGATTTATTTTGCTAGGCAGAAAACAGTTCTGAAGTCCTGTTGCCACTGAACTGGGTGGCAGTGCGCCCGTTGGGAGCGCTCAACCCTTTAAGAAACACCTCCAGAAAAAGCCCAGAAGATTCATTCTCTGTCTTTTAAACCCCGCTTCAGTTCACTCTTTCCCATTATGGAAACTTTTTGGCAAGATTTTTCTAGTTTTATGATAAATTTTGATTGTTTTCTGGAGGTTGTTTGTACACCATATAGAAATGTGGATAATTGTGCAGTATATAATGTTTACATAAATAAATAAATCTGCAACATATGCATCTACAAAGCCCTATAGAAGTTTGTGTGCGGTTCACACTTTTTTTAAAAAATCCAAGTTCTACACCAAGGTTAACCTTAAATCCAGTGAAAAGCCAGATCCTACAAACTGCACAAATTATGCAAATTGGCTTCTTTTTGCATAGTTCATTCTACTTCTGCCAGTCCTAGGAAGGGGCAAAGAGCTACGCAGGACACTGGTACTGCTAGGTATCTTACTCGGTGCCTCCTCAGAGATTTCAGATATTACCCATGCTCTTTCAAACACTAGAAAGGTTTCTTTTAAGAAGAAAGGCAGTAATTACATGGCCAAAGTCATGTTCTATGACATTTCTGTGCTTCCCCAGAACACAGAAGAGGAATAAGGAGCCAAAATAGTATTAATATCCTATTCCCTTTCCAAGGCAGTCCATTCCACAGTAGAACAGCTGTTGCCATCAGAAACTTCTTCCTAATGCTTAGTCGGAATCCCCTTTCTTGTCTGTGGCAAGTTGTAGTTCCCTAGTACTCCTTCAAAGGCAGCTGTGTGCAGAGCACATTGCAGTAATCCAGATGTGATGCAACTAAGCCTTGTGCCACCAGAGTCATATCTGCACCCTTAATCATGCATGTGACAATGTGCAAACTGTAGCTATGCTCATCTCCTTGAGTTATGCAGTACTCTTTGCCCATGGTTTGCATGCCAAATAAAATAAGCGAAGCAGAGGAAGGGGTAGGTTATATCAGCATGGCTTCCAAATAAAATGCCACCTTTATGGGGGGGATGTCCCCCCTTTCACCCCGCAATCATGTTGTGAAGTAGACTAAGAGCAGCCTGTCCCAGGACACCCAAATGAGGTTCAAGGTCTATCAGGAATTTGATCCTGGGTCTCAACAGTCCTAGTCTAACACTCTGCCCTTCTATACCACACTGGTTCTGACAAATAAAGTAAATACTGTATACAAGAGATGTTCCAAGTATTTGCAGTTCCCTCACCCATTCAGGGGCTCAGCGAATGCAAGTGGGACGTCTATACAGATCCGCTTGAAAGCATCACCCCACGATTTGATTCCTGTTTTGCATTTGAAGAGGAGTCAAATATTATTTAATTCAATACTCGAAATAACTTATGAGCAGCTTAGCAAACAAATGTTCCCTAAGCATGGGGTGGGGGAAATATACATTTTCAGATAATAATCTGAACAGCACCTGTATAACAGCTTTGGCCTAAATATAGACTAAGCATCAGCCACAACAATGCTATGATGACAGAGTGTTTCAACACAGTCTCCTCATGAAACATACCATCTTTTTTAAAAAAATAAAAATCCGTGTGGTGTCAACACAGTCTATTATTAACACATTAGGCAAGAAAAAGGTTTCCTCTGATTAAATTAGCGAGAATATAATTCACAATATAGTTGGAGGCTGCCTCATAATTTATGAATACAGTAAATACCCCTGCCGCTGAATTAGCAAGAAGGAAAGAGCACAAGCTCAATCAGTCAGCAAAGAAGATTCCTCAGCAGGAAGCAGGAGCAGGGGGAGAAAAGGCAGAACAGAAGTTGCAAGTGCACAAAGTGCTTTGCAGTTGTTACAACAACCCTGCAAAGCAGATTGTTTTAAAGGAGTAAGGCTTACAACCTGTCAAGAGCTGCTGCTGCTGCTGCTGTTAGAACCAGCAGCTCTGTGTACAATCTCACAAAGCAGTGAGCTCTCAGGATGGCGATTTAGAGGCTCTGGGAATGCCCCATCTCCCCACTGGGCCATCCTGAAAAGGAAGAAAGACTTCTTATTTAACTTTAGCCTTCTTCAAGCTTCCAAAAAGAGTGCATCAGGCTCTTAAGTCAGAAAGCAGAGGAGTGTGCCTATTCCACCCCAGTTTTCCTGTGTTGTGCAGAAAGGTCTGAAGAGGGCTCTAAGCGTATTTAGACAATACACCGTTCCTGATTGTGAGGAGGCTACTGCGTGTGATTAGCTGAACATGTTTATAGGTCCGTGTTGCGTGTTTACCTCCCACTGCAGGAAGGCTGGGATGGAGAATGCACACTGTACTTGTAGGGATACTGGGGAGGGGTCTGCTTGGTGCGTACCTTGGCTCTTGGTCCCTGGTATAACTCCTGATTCTCTTCCAAATGCTGCTTAGAGCTCAGCCATACCAAAGCGTTCCTGTTGGCTTCCCTAACTTTGAACCTCTGCCTCCTACATCGAAAGCCAACCCCAAATGGTGAAAATAAGAGAGCAACATGATGGACAATTTATGGAAGAATGGAAGCCTTTATTATTATTATTATTATTATTATTATTTGAAGAAGAAAAATATAACCAAATGAAATCATGGGCAGTATTTGAAATTTGGGCAATGGGAAGAAATGATAATGTATGAAAAAGAGGAATACAGTATGTATTAAGTGACGTGTGATATTATGCAGTATGCAAAAGGAATGGGTATAAAAAACAGGATGAAAGAGAAGGTGGGAGGTCAGATTGTAAGAGAAATGTATAAGAAATTTGAAGTTTGAAATCAATTGGTTAAATTTATGAAAATATAATAATAATAAAAAAACCCAATACCAAACACAACTATTGAAGGTCCCTGCCTGATGTCAACAGACAGGGAGTTCCCAAGTGTATGTGCTGGCATCCTAAAAGATCACTTTCTTACAACTGCAGAATTAATATTATGGGGCACCTGTAGCAGCGCCAGGCCTGCAAGTTGAGTGGGCCCAATTAAACCATGCAAGCCAATACTTTTCCATAGAAACCATTCACACATTCAGATGCAAAGCAGCAATGAGGCAACCGCACAATGTCAAGCAATGTACATGCATGGATAGATCAGCCTTACTTGTGTCTAAATTAATACACTTCATCAGATTTAAAGTCTCAGGATAGCTTCTGGGCAAATAAACATAATTCAAACAGCAACCAAAGCAGCCCTAATTCCATGTCTACTACGAAACAAAGAAATATGTTGGAAACAAGCAGAATGTTACACCAAATCAGCTTGGTTTGGTCTTATGAATGAAGCACAAATGAATAAAGATCTGAAACAGTCTTTAGTTAAAATTCATCTAGGTCAATGGGTATATTTTCTCTCTCCAAATTAGAAATCTCTTTCGGAAAATGCTGCATGAGTATTTGGCTCATAGCAGAGAGGAAACTGAAACCTGCAGCAATGGGTACGAAGCAGGGGCAGAGCAAGAAGGAGCAGCAGCATGAATAGAGAAATATGCTGAAAGCATATCCCAATAATTCTTATGAACAACCTGATAAGTTGGGCCAGTATCATTATCTCAATATTACAAGTGGAGTGGTGGGGCAGGAGTGGCTTGCATTATGTCTTCCTAATGAGCTTATAGCCCAGGTTATTTTTGAATCAGGGAGTTCAGTCTGATGTGCTGCGGTCCTAAGCATATTTACATAAAAGAAAGTCCAGCTGAGATCAATGGCACTTGCACCCCAGTATGCTTAGGACTAGAATTTAACAGCTCAATTAATCCGATGGGGCTTCACTTCCAAATAAAATACGTAGTCCGTCACTTCACCAACAGGAAAAAAAATATCAAGGACAATGGAAAAAGAAGAATGACATGGCAAGTTATATGTTGCATATAGCTCCTAATCAAATCTACTTTTTTTAATCCTGGTCCTTGCGCTCTGTCAAATCAACAAAGAATTGCAGTGAAAATGCACAGAAAACCAGGTTACATATTTGAAGCTATAAGACTAAAATCCAAGATTTGTTATCCCTCTTCCAAGTTTTAAGCTTGGCCAGCTCTTTGAATGAGCATATGCATTAAACAATACTAAATGCAGCCTGTAGGCATAAAAGCTTTGGACATTTTCCCATAAACCACTAAAAGTTGAAACTGTACCAGTATTATTAACGCAATCAGTTTTTGTGCAATAAATGCTCAGGTTTAAGGTTTCATTTGGGTTTTTTAAACTAATTTGTTGTGAGGGGCACTGGTGCCTTTTCTCAAGATAGCACTTCTTTTGCAGAGATATCCCATTTTCCCCATATTACAAACCACAATGTTTTATTTCTAGGGAAATACAGTCACCTTTGGTTGTGAGAGCTGTATTGAACAAAACTCTGCAAGGATGAGTGCATAGTGGAGAAAACCTATAAAATTCTGACAAACTTCTGCCTCCCGTGTCCAAGCTGTGCTTCAGATGTCTTGTGAAGCCTTATCAGGTTTTCCCAGACCCATAAATTCAGACCGTGTTTAATGTTTTTGAACAAATTCATGTTTATCAGTTTTACATGTTTTTGTATTGTTGTAACTCTGTGTGTGTGTGTTTTATTGCACCACTTAGAAAGTTCTAAAATATTTAGTGGTTTATAAAAGCTTTTACGAAAATAAAAAACAGTTCATCATAAAATTGGAATAAATAATAAATAATCATGAGGTTCATCTAGTCCAGCTACCTGCAGTGTCTTGCCCAACATGGGGCTCAAACCCCACAACCCTGAGATCTCATGCTCTACCGACTGAGCTAGCCCAGCTGGCTATTACATGACTTTTTAAAATGTATTAATTCCTTTATTACACATCTCTGGACACCACTCAATGTAGCTCATGTAGGTAGCCCCGCTAGTATCCCACAGAATTCAATGGAATATGTTTATAATTTTTACATAGCTGACCAATTTTCTTTGGCCAGAATATTCATTTACCAGCATAAACACGGAATGCACCATAAGCCAAAATACGTTTCACAGTCGTTTAATTTCCTAGATGGGAAAACTGAGGAAGAGAAGCTGAGATTTCAGTGGCCTACTTGGGAAATAGGTTTTCAACTCATGTCTACTCAGAAATAATTTAATAGGATTTACCTCCCAGCAACAAATATCAGTGTAGAAATGCCCTTTACACTAGAGATGGAGAACTTCTTGTTAAAGTTTGGAGTTTGCATTTGCAAAGCAGAGGAGTTTGCAATTAAGTGAGAGATTTCACTCTGGCAAAAGCATAAAAAGGGGGAGTTGAAGGCTTTAGGATATTGGATGCATTATCCTGGAAACCTGAGCAGGTCCCTCTTCAGTAGGAAGTTGACAACTGAGAAGCTCAATGTCTCCATGTTGTGGGAAGCCAGTAAAAAGTTTGCCAGCTCAGCATGTCGGGAGAAGAAGCTTGCAGCATAACGGTGTCACTCTCTGGGATCAGAGAAAGAAGTTCCTGGGCTGTATTAAAAGACTTAAAGGCCTGAACTGCATTGCCTGCTACATGAGTGCAATGTGTTACTTTGTATTTTGTTCTTAGTAACATTTATATGTAATTGGTTTTAGGACTGTTCTGCAGTAAAGCTTTGAAAAGCATTATTGGGGTGGAAAGCTCATTTATTTCCACACAAGGTCCAGATCAAAGATTCCGCTAAACTAACACCTGTGGCTCTGTTAATAATAATAATAATAATAATAATAATAATAATACCCCGCCCATCTGGCTGGGTTTCCCCAGCCACTCTGGGCGGCTCCCAACAGAATATTAAAAACACGATAAAACATCAAACATTAAAAACTTCCCTAAACAAGGCTGCCTTCAGATGTCTTCTAAAAGTCAGATAGTTGTTTATTTCCTTGACATCTGATGGGAGGGTGTTCCACAGGGCAGGCGCCACTACCGAGAAGGCCCTCTGCCTGGTTCCCTGTAACCTCACTTCTCGCAGTGAGGGAACTGCCAGACGGCCTTTGGCCCTGGACCTCAGTGTCCAGGCAGAACGATGGGAGTGGAGACACTCCTTCAGGTATACTGGGCTGAGGCCGTTTAGGGCTTTAAAGGTCAGCACCAACACTTTGAATTGTGTTTGGAAATGTACTCTAGATGCTGTTGTACTACAAATTCCATCATCCCTGTTCACTGGCCATGCTGGCTAAGGCTGATGAGGAAGTCTTACATCATTTGGCAGGGGGCAGAGATTTCATCCCTGCTATACACATTATGATTACAGCCTTAAAAACTTTTCTGCATTGTAGTATGTTTCCTCAACATTACAGAACTCAGAGGTTGTTTTTTTATGAATCAGCTTTAATATGAACCAAGCAAGTGGCAATATGTTCTTAAAAGAACATAAACAAATGACAGTGTTATTGATTTTTTTTAAAAAAAACACCATGCCCTATCCACCTGCAGTGCTTTTCTCACGTAGTTTAATAAGGACATTTACCATGTCATTACACATTTTAATTACATTGTTAAATGTCACAATCATACATGCTAATGACATCATTACACCTATTTACACCAATTATGTCATTTGATGCAATTAAAGCAATTCTGACAATAACATACAAATCAATACGGTTCTGTTTTGTATTTTCTGGGTGGACATTAAGAATAACATTTCATGGTTATTAAAAAATATTATACAGATAAAAGTTCCTTCCCCATCAAGAGCAGGCTGGATATCGATAACAAAAGTGTGAACTGGAAGAAAGTCCTTGGGTAGGAAGTGAAGAGTGAAGTAAAATAAAAGGAAAATCAACGCGTTATTATGCAGCTGAGATCTTGCTGTTATCGTTTACACAATACATAAAACCAAATGGGCAGCAGTGGCAGGAAAAGCCATTTAAGTATATCTGAAACTAACACTGGGTCAAAAGTTCTTCACACAACTTTTTTGTTCCAAGATGGGACCTGAGAGAGGGTGGGGTAAGTGTTTCACAAACCACCGCACTCTCTCTTTTTTGTCCCCCCCCCCCTTACACACACGTCTCCAAAGCGAGGGCATGAAGCATTGTCCCTCACTTTGATCTGGCTTCAGGTAGCGCTACATAGAAGATGAAGAGTTTGGATTTGATATCCCGCTTTATCACTCACGAAGGAGTCTCAAAGTGGCTCACAATCTCCTTTCCCTTCCTCCCCACAACGAACACTCTGTGAGGTGAGTGGGGCTGAGGTCACCCAGCAGCTGCATGTGGAGGAGCGGGGAAGCAAACCCGGTTCACCAGATTATGAGTCCACCGCTCTTAACCACTACATCACACTGGCTCTCACTAAAAGCTGTTTTCATCAATGAAGCCAAGAGTGAGGGCAGTGCTTCCAAACCTCACTCTATATCATGGGTATAGAACTTTAGGTCTGGGGGCCAAATGTGGCCCTCTGAACTCTCCAGTCATGCTTTGCACTCTCTTAGGCAATTTTTCTAGAAAAAGAGGTGCTGTAACTCACCAGGAACGCCTCCCTTGTTCTCTTCTAATGGCAATGGCGCCCACCTGAGAGGTGCCAGAACTGAGTTCCGGTGAGTTCCGGCTGAACTTGTTTAAAATTGAGTGCAACATGGAACTAAATCAATCAAGAAGCCACAGTTCTATCATGCAACAGGTCCTGCGGTGCAAAAAGGAACGTTAGAAATCAGAAATATAACCAGGGAAACTAACTCAATACATCTGAATGCAGCCTATATCTGGGGGTCAGTGGCAGCAATGGCCCAGCCAAAACTTAAGCACGAGATATGAAATGTCTGGAATTATTTCACAATACATCTCATTTCTAGGAGTTAGAAAGGATGAGAGTTAAAAAAAAACACAACAACCCACATGATGCATTCATTGCTCCCACATGAGCTAATTCAGCAATTAAACAAGGGAAAGCTCAAGGGAAATGAACTGAAGCATCCAATAAAGCAAGCGAACTACAGTCCTGCATATAAGGAAAGGCTAGCCAAGGCACCACAGAGTAGCCATAAATTCATTTTGCAAAAGGCATGTATTTATACATAAATTTATACATAAATTTCCATGTATTTAATTAACACCGTGGGCTGTTGTCATTCTCTTATGCTGCCTGTTAAAGGGCTACAGAGGATGCTTAACAGGGTCTGGGATGACCTAGCTAAGGAAAATAAAATGATAAATACTTGAGGCCTTGTAATAAGATGGCATTTTCAATTGAGAAACAAGGGCGGGGGGGAGGGAGGAATCAGCTGAAGTTCTTTAGGAGCGACTGCCTCTCTTGGAACTCTGTGAGTGACTTGTCAGGTAAAATCAGCAGTAATAAAAAGGCATCTACACTGGTGACCAGCTCTGCCCTCACTAAACATTTCAGAGCAGTCACTGAGTTTACTGTTTAAGGTTTCAGAGGACGAGGGCATGAAGTCAGTCAAACAGGGAAAGAAAGAAAGAAAGAAAAGAAAGGAAAGAAAGAAAGAAAGAAAGAAAGAAAGAAAGAAAGAAAGAAAGAAGAAAGCTTCAGATGAAATGTTTGCACAACAACCAGAGAGAAAAGAAAAATTCAGACTATAGACTGAATGCGAGTACTGAGGGCAGAATTCAGCTTTCTGGGAATCTCCGCTTTCATTTAAAAGGGCAAGTTTCCAGTCCTCAAGTTTTGCAGTTGGTGTAGTACACACATCTGTAAGGGGAATGCTGCATGTGAAGCAATGAACAGTTTTGTAATTCTGAAGGTTATAGCATTGAAAGAGCCACCTGACAAATTTATTTAATGCTCAAAGCACGTAGAAGGACAAACAGTATTTGGAAGTACCATGTTCACACCACGTAAACCAAACTGGAGAACAGGGGGTAACAGGGGGGTTATTGTTTTGTTGTTTTGGTTTAATTATTTACTTGTGTTTTATTTTGTAATTGATGAAGGGTGGTATATAATAATAATAATAATAATAATAATAATAATAATAATAATATAGAGTTAAAGGAGTTTCTTTGTGACCCCAAGCTGTGCTGACCAAAATTAAAGCAAGGAGATATGCAGATGAGAATTTACTGGGCTAAACTGTCAAAATGTGGAGATCTAGGCTTGCTTTCTTGGGGTATCCCTCATGTCCTATTTCAGTACAAAAGACATTTTCCACAAAGTGATGTGTGTATGGGAACAAATCATATCACAATTATGTCTTATAAAGACCCGAAAGATCACAAAATAAGAGCAATTCTCTGCCGCAGCTCTAGAATGGATTGTAGGAATGCATTAGGCTCTCTCCTCTGGAGAGATATATGGTTTATATCAGAAGGGGGGGGATTCAATTTAACTGTATTCATTGTGACTGGCAACCTCTGCACACAAAGGGGGCCTATTGTAGGAGTGGCAGGCCTGGTATCAGTCAAGACAACAGAGGTTTGTTTGTAAGTTTAGGGCTATGGGGGAAGTAGTAGCCCTAACATAAGACAAAGCGGAGAGGCATTATCAAAACCAATGACGAATCTGGATAAATGTGAATTATTTTAAACCTTGACCCTGCCAGTTCAATCCTATACAGGGCTAACACAGAAATAAGTTCCATTCTTTTCAATAAGGTTTACCCCCACGTTTTGCACTGTCAGGTTGCATTTACTGTCTTATTTGTTTGTTTTATTGTTTACAATGTGCATACCCCCCAACATTTCTCCAATGAAAATAGGGACGTCCTATTCAACAACAACAACAACAACAACAACATTATTTATACACCACCCATTAAACATTTTTAAAAACACATCCCTATAAAGGTTGTATGTCTTACATGTCTTCTAAAGGTTGTATGGTTACTTATCTCCTTGGCTTGGGGGTC